ATAGTTTGTTTTTAATAATAAAGGAGAATGAACAACTACGTGTGTGTGTGTGTGTGTGTGTGTGTGTGTGGCAGAAACAACTTTTGAAATGATTTCTTAAAAAGGCAAACAAATATAGTTTTGAATTGAAGGTAAAATTTAAATGCAAATGCACAAGGAATATTGATTATCAACGAGAAAAATGCAAGTAAAAGAATAAAAAAGATGAAATGGAAGAGAAAGACATAAATGAGATTTGTTTTTCCTTTCAGTTCTACCAGGAATGGTATCAAAGAAATTTATGAAGTACAGTGCCATTTGCCAGATGAACTTGAGTTGAATGCAAAAAAGAAGACAAAAGAAGACATTTAGCCTAAATACAACTCCATTGAAAAGATTATAATGGTGTCTCTTTCATCCTTACAGATTTTTGCAACTGTTATTTAAGGTATGTTTTTCAACTCAGCCTACCCTCATTCCTATCTTCATGCATCGCTCAATCTTATAAATCCAACATCATTCCACATGCTTTTTTTCCTAACCTTCATTTAATCTTGAAGGAAAATAAGAGAAAATACAGAGAAGAGAAGAGAGAGAAAATACAGAGAAGAGAAGAGAGAGAAAATACAGAGAAGAGAAGAGAGAGAAAATACAGAGAAGAGAAGAGAGAGAAAATACAGAGAAGAGAAGAGAGAGAAAATACAGAGAAGAGAAGAGAGAGAAAAAATAGAGAAGAGAAGAGAGAGAAAATACAGAGAAGAGAAGAGAGAGAAAAATACAGAGAAGAGAAGAGAGAGAAATACAGAGAAGAGAAGAGAGAGAAAATACAGAGAAGAGAAGAGAGAGAAAATACAGAGAAAGAAGAAGAGAGAAAATACAGAGAAGAGAAGAGAGAGAAAATACAGAGAAGAGAAGAGAGAGAAAACACAGAGAAGAGAAGAGAGAGAAAATACAGAGAAGAGAAGAGAGAAAATACAGAGAAGAGAAGAGAGAGAAAATACAGAGAAGAGAAGAGAGAGAAAATACAGAGAAGAGAAGAGAGAGAAAATACAGAGAAGAGAAGAGAGAGAAAATACAGAGAAGAGAAGAGAGAGAAAATACAGAGAAGAGAAGAGAGAGAAAATACAGAGAAGAGAAGAGAGAGAAAATACAGAGAAGAGAAGAGAGAGAAAATACAGAGAAGAGAAGAGAGAGAAAATACAGAGAAGAGAAGAGAGAAAAATACAGAGAAGAGAAGAGAGAGAAAATACAGAGAAGAGAAGAGAGAGAAAATACAGAGAAGAGAAGAGAGAGAAAATACAGAGAAGAGAAGAGAGAGAAAATACAGAGAAGAGAAGAGAGAGAAAATACAGAGAAGAGAAGAGAGAGAAAATACAGAGAAGAGAAGAGAGAGAAAATACAGAGAAGAGAAGAGAGAGAAGAAATAGAGAGAAGAGAAGAGAGAGAAAATACAGAGAAGAGAGAGAGAGAAAATACAGAGAAGAGAAGAGAGAGAAAATACAGAGAAGAGAAGAGAGAGAAAATACAGAGAAGAGAAGAGAGAGAAAAAACAGAGAAGAGAGAGAGAGAAAATACAGAGAAGAGAGAGAGAAAAATACAGAGAAGAGAAGAGAGAGAAAATACAGAGAAGAGAAGAGAGAGAAAATACAGAGAAGAGAAGAGAGAGAAAATACAGAGAAGAGAAGAGAGAGAAAAATACAGAGAAGAGAAGAGAGAGAAAATACAGAGAAGAGAAGAGAGAGAAAATACAGAGAAGAGAAGAGAGAGAAAATACAGAGAAGAGAAGAGAGAGAAAATACAGAGAAGAGAGAGAGAGAAAATACAGCGAGAGAGAGAGAGAAAATACAGAGGAGAGAGAGAGAGAAAATACAGAGGAGAGAGAGAGAGAGAGAGAGAGAGAAAATACAGAGAAGAGAGAGAGAAAGAAAATACAGAGAAGAGAGAGAGAGAGAGAGAGAGGAGAAAAAAGATAGAGAAGAGAAAGCATGCACAGCTGGTTGAATTACAAGTAAATCGAATAGATACATGTGAGCCAATGCATATGTCGATATATCTCAGACATAAACATCTTGGAAAGGATTAACATAGACTAGCTTCAAATATGTGATACTTCCCAGATATGTACGCAACTGCAGTCTCTGCAACAGAAGGTACAGATAAGTTTCCTTCCTCTCCTACAAATGTACTACATTATCTACATATATACAAATTCAGAGGCAGAATGCTGTACACAAAAGGGGCACAGTGGGAGGGGCATAACATGTATAAGGAGAGTGACGTGGCTGCACAAATCTGCCCTTTTTATTACCTGTCAAGAATACTTGTAATCTTCTTTTACATGGTCAAATTCTCAGATTATCTTCCTCTAATAAGGATTGCAATGTTCGTTGGCATGGGGGTATAAATACACCCATGAGATATTGGATTGCTTCCTATACAGGATGGGTGTAAATGCATAAATCCTGTTTTATAGTGTGGGTGGGGTTGGTTTTCATTGGAGAAGCATTTTTAAAATAGACTTAAACCAAAAGACATATACATGACCAACTCTTTTAGATATTCTTGCACGATGTCAGAATAAACTGGTAAAAGAAAAAAATAAATAAAAAAAACCTTCTTATTTTAGTGCAAGTGAACCAAAACTATATTATGGCCATCACTTATCATTTCTTAAAGTTAATCAAGTCAAGAAATAACTTTTTCTTGCCGTGTTACAGAAAGCAGCTCTGTTGCAGCTGAGGTAGTTTGGTAAAATGGTATCTGCTATGAAAGTGCATATGAATGATTGGTATGTCATTGAATTTATCCAAGTAAAACATAGCACTTATTGAAATTCAAGACTTGTTAAATGTGTAAAGAGAGACCAAACAATAGATGTGAGCACAGTTAGGCAGTGAAAAGGTGAATCATCTCTGCTGGTAAAGATTTTATTTTTGCAACATGTGCCTGATTATCACTGGCAAAAATGCTTATCAAATGCTGGCAACTGTGGTCAAAAGCATTTTCTAATTAAAAACTTGCTCAATACAGTTGAACAATTATGCTCCCTTGTATTTGTTGTTGCTTCTGCAGAAATACCTTGTGCATGCATGTGTGTGTTCATGCATATATGGACAGGAGCATCAGTAACCCTGTAGCCTAATGATAAAAGAAAGCGATTATTTTATCCAGCATTTTTTCAACATAATCTTTTCACTTATTTAAATGCTATATATATATATATATATATATATATATATATAGTAAACCTAGAGAGCCAGACAAACCTACCAAGGTTTCACCTAAGCAGATCGTCAGAGAAGGCTGGCTATTTTGCTTACTCATATCGGGTTTTTTTTTCTTTGGACTTGCATGCTAGACAATTATTTTCGGCTAACATACATGTTCTTGGTTCTTTCTTTTTTTATACCTTTTTTTTTTCTCCTTTGGTATTGGTTTGATTATTTGAAAATCAAGGCACCAAAGATTTTCCGGACAAGTATAATTTCTTATACTTATAAGATTATTACTACTAATATATATATATATATAAGTGAAGATCAAACTCCGTGGAGAAAGAATGACTCGCAAAAACAACTGACTAAACACATCAAGGTACTTGGTGTGTGTGTGTGTGTGTGTGTGTGTGTGTGTGTGTGTGCTTGCAGGTGCAAACAATTAATATCATCTGATTGATTTGCTAGCATAAAAATCATGAAAATTAGCAACGGTCAAATCTGATTGGCTCATTAACACCACCAAGACCGATGCAATGAGCAAAAGTAACCATCATTAAAATTAGGAGAACAACAACAGAGTTGAAAATTTTAAATGCTATGAAGGAAGAATTATAAAAAGACTTATTATTAATATTGGTACTATCTTGTTGAGGTTGACAGCTGCAAGCACAATTTTAATTTAGTTTAAAGTAATAAACCTGATTCTTCTAGTGTTGGTAGCTGTTTTAGTTGCCCAAGTTGTTGTAGCTTTCCCCGCATGATGATTAAAAAAATACTGCAACTGAAAATAGGGAAAGTAGGCTAATCAATCAACTGATAGACAGGTAGTAAAACCTGGTTTGCCCTGGGGGGGGGGAGTACAGTAAAGAACTGAAAGGAAAAACCTTCCAACCAAGCCAAGGTAGAGAGGCAAGTAAACCAATCGAGTTCCTATATAACTATATTCTAATTTTGTTTTAACAAGAATGCAACTATCAGTATACAGGGGTCATATCAGAAATTCTGATGCCTTCTTTGAATAGTCAGCCATATTACGTATAAAATTTCGACATAGAAAAAAAAACACATTGTAATTTTTCTAAAGAATAAAATTTGATTTTTTAATTTTTTTTTTTTTTTTTTAACAACTTTGCACAAGCATACAGTAAGGAACTAACAATCAAGTTGACACTGCTATGCTACTACATATCTCAAGTTAAGAAATTTTAGACAAAAATATACAAATACAGTATAAATAAAGCTATTTTTATGATCAGGAAAATAGGGAACCAAAAAAAATTAAATCTATAGTATTGTTCCACTAGTGGAACATATTTTAAGACATTCTTTTTTTTTTTTAAAAATCTAACAAATATTAATTTTGATTATTTTATTAACGGAAAAAACTAAAATACAATGTGTGATTACACAATGTGTTCGAATACAATTAAATGTTCATTTTGTATTAAAAAAAAAAAAAATGTTTCAAAATTTGTTCCACTAGTGGAACAATGGACACTAAAAGGTTTCAGACTGACCAAGTTTTATAACTAATCCTATTTTGTAATAATGAAACGGAAAATATCCACTTGATTCACACATCTAAGAATGTTGACGATCAAGCTAAAAGCATGAAGTTTAATTGCAAGATTATGATAACACCAAAACCTTGCATCATTAAACACACAGCCTAATGAACAACTTAAGTTGGAAGCAATTCATGAGGGGGGGGCTCTATGAGTTAAAGAGTGACTAAGCTATCTGATATTCTCAAATACTTACACAGGAATGTGTTGTCACTTGAATAAATATGAACATTAGTTTTCATGTGTGTGAGAACAAAAGGAGAGGAGGGGGAAGGAGAGAAGAGGAGGGGGAAGGAGAGGAGGGGGGGAAGGAGAGGAGAGGAGGGGGAAGGAGAGGAGAGGAGGGGGGAAGGGGAGGAGGGGAGAGGAGAGGGGGGGAGAGAGGAGAGGGGGGGGGGGAAGGAGAAGGGAGGGAGGGGGAGGGAGAGAAGAGGGGGGGGAAGGAGAAGAGGAGGGGAAGGAGAGAAGAGGAGGGGGGAAGGAGAGAAGAGGGGGGGAAGGAGAGGAGAGGAGGGGGAAGGAGAGAAGAGGAGGGGAAGGAGAGAAGAGGAGGGGAAGGAGAGAAGAGGAGGGGAAGGAGAGAAGAGGAGGGGGGAAGGAGAGAAGAGGAGGGGAAGGAGAGAAGAGGAGGGGAAGGAGAGAAGAGGAGGGGAAGGAGAGAAGAGGAGGGGAAGGAGCTATTAAAGACTGAATGGAAAAATATAAAAAGAAAAAAAGGCAAGTGGTAAGACTGCAAAACATATTAGAAGAAATGAAATATGACAAAATATTGGTTAGATGGGAAGAAGCATCAGAGAAGGAAGAATGAAAACTAAAAAGTAAAAATAAGAAAGAAAAATGTTAAAGAAAAAAAAAAAAAGTATGAAAAAACAAAATTTCAACATTATTTTTTCTCTTCACTCACAGAAAATAAAATCTCCCACACATACACATTGTCTAAAAATAATAGCATGTGCATGAAAATGCTGCATCAAATAATTTGATGCACTTCCTTTCGTTCCTTAGACGACACTTGCAGCTGTAAAGTCAGTTTTAAAACATCTGAAACTAAATAACTTGATGCTTTTTATTATTCAATAACCCAAAAAGGGAGAAACATTTTATGTATTCACATTCAAAGAGTGAATAAAATAATCAATTTGCACTTGAAAAAGTGAACAACAATTGACTATTTGTACAAATAAATGAATATCAATTTATAAAAAGACAAATCATAATCCACAATACACTTGAAGGCATTTGTGGGGAAACAAATATTAAAGAATAAAATCAGCTTCAGAGATTTAATAATTGGGAGGATAATCCTTAAGTGGTATACAGATTTGCCTAACAGCAACACCCCTACACCCATAATAATACACCACACCAAAAAGTAGATCTAATAATAAATAAATAAATAAAACAAGTAATAACGCCCAATTAAGATTTTTCTTACAATTCATTTAGAAGAAAAAAAAAAAAAAAAGTTTTTTTTGTTTTTTGTTGTCCAGGTGAATAGTGTTTATCAAAGATTTTCGTTATGACTGCAGTTATTAAGCCTTGAAAATAAACATCAAATAAAAATATTAGCACAACAGAAATTAGATGAACAATAAATCTTTTCTGTTGAAAGGTTGAGGTGAGAGGTCAAAACTCACAAAATAAATAGATTCAGCAATGTTACACCAACCTTTAATTTTAAACTTTTAAAGAAATACAAACTTTTTTTAATTTCTATTTTTTTTTTTTTTAAGTTTCATGAAATATTTAAACCAGATGTGAAAGTAGTAAAATATTTTTTTCTAATTTGCCCTTTTCATGACAAATGGCAATTTGCCATTTTGAGAGAGAGAGAGAGAGAGAGAGAGAGAGAGAGAGAGGTGAATGTTGGAGGCAAAATAGGCAACTACACTAGTTGACATTCAAAAGCAACTTACAACCTAAGTGATGTTTATCTAACAAGAACAACAACCAAGAAGGAAACCTAACAAAAACATTCACAAGAAACAGGAGCTTCTATCTGACTACCCCTCTTATTTTGGCCAATCTCTTTATCCATTTTTCTCATTTCTGTTCAAGGTCAAACAATTTTCAACTTGATATCCCAATTCTGTTTTCTACAAAAAGAAAATGGATTTTTAGTTTTTACTGATTTTGAAAGTCATGAGAAAACTGTCAACTGGATGGTTAACAAAAAAAAAAGCCTTTCATTGCTTTAAGGCTTGAGCTTGGTAAAATTCAAAATTATGAGAAATTCCAATATCTATACGCAATTATTCTTAAACATTTCTTTTGATATTATTGGTTAAAGTGTGTATGAAGGTGCAATATCAATTGTTGAGATAAGAAATATATTGTTTATATATGGATTCACTTTTCAACAATTGGTTGACATCAAAAAAATAAAGGATGAAATACTTTAAAAGTGTTTACTGTCTTTATCTTTCTAACTTAATAATCACATACTGATATAAATTTTTAAAAAAATTGATTTCATCACAAGCAAAGTGATGATACAACTAGGGGTTACTGGGAGTAAAAGAGAATGAGATGATTTTTGAAAAAGGAACCAGAAACCCAATCCTAAACAGGAAACAAGGGATAAACCTTTACTCCTGTTCAAAAGATGAGAAAGGAGTGTGATCTGAAGTCAATTCTTACAGCAGTTGCTAGTTTTTATGGGGGAAAGATTTGTTGAGATGAGCCTCTGCAGATCATGATCATTATTTTTTAATAGAAAATAGTATTTATAATCCACAGCAAATCTGGTTCAATGGTTCAATTTCTTTAAACCTGGATCAATCACCACACACAATAGCTCTTATCTTAAATAACAACTTAAAAGAGACTGTTTGACCAACACAAAGACTGACCAAAATTCATGTTAAAAAAATAAAACAACAAATGAAAACTACAGACAAAAGTTCATTTTCTCCATCAAGACATTCATTTCTGTAGTTCACTGCAAGCAGAAAATATTTTTTCTTCTGATGATGGCCATGTTGGCCAAAACTAGCCGAGGAATCTAAATGAAATAATAAAAATGAAAGAATATTAATATACAACCCAGTGTGTCTGAAGATTTTTTATTGTTCAATATATATATATATATATATATATATATATAGTTTATGCAAAACTAGGTAATCCATATGGGTAGACCCAAGGAGGATGATATCCGGAGAGCTCAATGTAAATTCAGAGCAAATATGTTTGAATAAAAACACACCACTTTAAGGTCCCATGTAATAAGTTATTTCACTACAACCCTTTTAAAGGGCTCTGGATCATCAGACTTTACTTCCAAAGGTTGAAATGAAAAATGAAGCCCTTTAAAAGGGTTGGGGTGAAATAACTTATTACATGGAACCTTAAAATGATCTGTTTTTATTCAGACAAATATATATATATATATATATATATAATAAAAGCAGAAGCAAATATTTTTGCAAAGTGGAAAAAATTGTTATTCCCTAATATTCACTCCAGGAAAGTTTAAAAAAAAAAAAAAAAAAAAAATTTTAAACTAGTGCCTTTCCAGTCCCCCCCAAGTTAATTCATGTCAACATTGTAGATATTAGCAAAATAACTTTGAAACTGCAATTCCAAAGAATAAATGAACCATACAGTTGAGCTGCTGATTTTGAAGCCAACTCACACAAATACAGATAGGTGTCAGCTCAGTTATGGTAAAGCAGTAAATTATTGTTCATTGGTATCAGATTCTCCGTGATGGCACTAGATCAGATCGAAGTACTTCCATCCAATCAGCCTCATTCAGTCTTTCGATGTAATTTGCATAATAGGCAAAGTAATAGTTTCTGAAAGCAAAGAGGTCCTCCTGTGAGATGTCTAGTCACCTCTAGAGGCTTGCTATTGAATTAACTCACGTACAATCATTCACTACTTGACTAAATGGAATGGACAGAGTATCAATACAACTTAGAAACTCGAGTCACGTCAAATGACACCAGAGGCTGGCCAAGTACAAAAACAGATGCAAATATTATTCATTGTAAGAATGAAATGAAGTCGACGATTACAAGTTGCAGATGGCCATTAGGTTGACTGGTCAGTTTGTCCAATATTAGCCTCTAAGACAGGGTCACTTCAATTTTGTTAAGTAGGATTAATAGATTGCTAATCAAGTAGCTCAAACAGTTTGCCTCTAATATGCAGACAGACAGACAAAGAGAGTGGAAAAGATGGTTGGCTATTGGTGTTTTGAAAAGTCATTTGAGTAATACGAGATTCATTAAAAAAAAAAAAAAAATTCTACTCAAATAAAATTCAGAAACAAAGATAGAAAAAGGGAGGAAAAAATGTCTCCAAACCTGAGTGCAAGGTATTTTTTCCAAAATGGTAAATTCCTCCAAAATGTAAAGTCTCCAATCTTTCAAAAACAGAATCCATTTTTATTTTGGTTAAAGAAACTTACCTAGAAAGAAAAAGAAAAAAAAAAATTAGTTCCTGTTACTGTGCATGTTTACCAATGTACAGTAGCATTTTATTTACTAAGAGAAACAGTTACTTCTTTGCTTCATATGAAATGAAATCAACCAATTCATGTAAAGATTAAAAAATAAATTAAGTAAGAATAACAAAATATGTAATAGACTTAGAAGAAAGAGAGATAAAAAGGAAATTCCATGATGGTTTTTTTTTTATTTTTTTTATTAGAACACTTGTTGACATTATCTTAGGAAATAAGCCCCTTAACCTATTTCCTGCCAATTATTTTGGGGAAAAACGTTTCATTTTCAGACAAGTTTTTTTTTTTTTTTAGTATAGTAACTAAGAAACTGAGGTACCTTGAAGTACCCGAGCAGTGACTAACACCTCTACCAGTTGTTCAAGTTAACAATTGGAATCATTTCAAGCTCAGAAGGTCATAAAAAGAATCAAGATTGATGTATAAACACATATATAGCTGGTTTTTGAACATTCTGTTTTGGATGTGTTTATTCATCTGTGCCTGGAAAAGAAACTTTCAGTAAAAATGTACATACATGTCTACACTAAGGAAGGGGTTAAAGCGAAAATGATCTTGGTAAATAAAGTTTACAATTTAAAAAAAAAACAAAAAAAAAAAAAAACAAAAACACTATTTTGAGCATTAACTCTCTTATCTCTCAAGGGTAATAATACAACGAACACCTACATACATTGCTCCTTAATAAACAAAATTTTTAGTGTTTTATTAGCAATGCATTGAACATGCTGTGACATTTAAGATTGATTACTTAATCATTGAGGTAAATAACACTGACACAAATTTTGTTATTTAGAATTTATCAATTTCTTGCATTTAATAATATCTATAAATATTCATATAAAAAGGAACATTATTGCTGGGCATTATCAGTGGGAGAAAAATGAAACCGACCAATTTAGTTATACACACACACACTTTCTCATATACATAAATACACATAATTTTTTTTTTTTTTTTATTGGTAATATTAAATTCTTCAGCCTGAGATAAATTTCCAACTACAAAACCAACTTACAGGCTCATCAATCATGAAGTTAAAAGAATTTTAAAAACCATTCATCTTTCTTGGAGAATCATATAAACAACGCCAGGGAGAAATGAATTTTGAAGCATAAAAAGGCTATTTCCAAGATGTTTCCATGTCATTTAACTTACTATCCAGTCTTTCCTCCCTCTTAATAAAGAACACAGTCACAGCCCCAAATACTGCTAACCTCCACACAATGCTAATAATTGTTTTGCATCATGCATAGTCTTTGCTCCCCATTTTCTCCAGTTAATACAACAGAAATCAACTTTTGAACTCAATTAAGAAACTTTTATTCTTTGCTTGACTGTGTCTTTTCATCTAAAAAATAAATTCTGTTTCAGCTTATTTCTACATGTCAAAATGAATTTAAAACAACCCTTGATGCCATTTCTTTACTTGTAAAGTCTACATCCAATAACAACTATGCAAATACTCACAGTATAATAAATCATGAAGAAATTATGATTAGTAATTTAGTGATTCTTTCCACTTTCAGGAACTGAAGAATTAATGGTTGTTTTTAATTACATTACTGTCTTTATTCTCCTGCCAGTCAGTTTGAGGTGGTGGGTGGGAGATCTCTGCTGATTTCTACAAGGGGCCAAAGGTGAAGATGATTGTTAACATGTCAACACATCAGTCTATAAAATAAACTAAAAAGTTTGGTACTTGTGGGTTATCTGTCACCATTTTTTTTGTAATGTTAGATGTGGTTATTATTTACTTTTTAAGACTGCTAAATGAATCTTTGACTCATAATATCAACCATTTGTGGGGGTCAGCAAAGTGGAGGAACAAGCATCACCTAGAAACTGAACAACACCATCCTGAGATCTACCTGGCCCAGTTTATGTAGAGAAGGCAACTAGCCGATGGAGTTGACCCATTTGATGCCATCCTGCAGGCTATCACTGATTTCATGCCAGTCAATTAATATGATTAATGTTTGTTATTTGAAGAAATAAATACAATTTTAGAAACAGTATATTTTTTATACATCTGTATTTGTGAAAAGTTTGAAAATTAATTTAAAAAGTAACAATGGATAACCCACAAGTATCAAAAGTTTATTTGCAAAGAGTAGGTTTTTAGACAAAAGGTGACGACTTGAAGAACAACATCCAGATTTCTATACAAGTAGAGACAACATGTAACAGCTATGAGGAGAAGTGGGAGGAGGGAAATGGTGGTGGCAAAGATGAAGAGGGAATAGAAAGGTCATGAAGAAGATGGAGTAAATATAAAGATATGTTCAGTTGTTTGAATGGATTCAAAAAATATCCTGGGGATCTGGGAAAATAAATAAATAAATAAAAGAGGTCCCTGACATGCCACAGATTGTAAAGGGTGTGGAAGAGACAAGAGTTTAGCACTCTTACATCCCAAACATGAACTGG